TCAGTGGAAACAGGATCAAACTCAGTGTGAAGCAAGGGAGGATTTTTCCCCCCTATATATGTTAGAAAATATTAAACCTGGAATGAGCAAAACCATTCAAAATTGCAGCGAGTAGAAGTGAATTTAATCATCATCTGTCCATGGAAATTTAGAGCACCTTAGAAAACAGGCCTTTTGCAAAAACCATAAATGTCAGGACAGTAATATGCAAATGAACTCAGATGAGATGCTAGATTTTTCTTTTATAGTTTTATGCAATATATATTCCTCTTTTTAAAAAAATGCTGTTGAATTTTTGCCATTGTAACTGTTGTTTTTATTATTTATGCTGGATTTTTGCTGTGCCTGAAAACATATTACAATAATAACGAAAGAAGGAATAGATTTTTTAGGGCTTCAGTAATGTTTAGAAGAAGCCAAAAATCAGAACATTTTTCCAGCCTCAGGCTACATACTATGTATTTTGTACAGCAGGTGAGTATTGTAAGCCCATACAGATCCCATGTGGAGCCAAAAATAGCAGAGAAACTTGTTTTTGTCAAGACCAACCCCACACTCTGAGTTTATAATTACATTTGAACTTACCAGTTTGTGGCAATGGCAGCCATAACCACAGCCAGCAGTGTTTTTCCTGAAAATTGTCAAACTGACAGTTATTACAATCAGAATTGTCATTTTGTTTTTTATTTTTAAATATTGCCTCTGTAAGCAAGAAGTAATACCTAGACTTGAAAGTAAAGGATGTTAAGTATCTTTTTTTTTCACATTTCTCTTGAGTGTGCAACATATCCAACTTCACCTCCCTGCACTAATACAAAATGCCCAAGAATAATGTTTTCAAAATCAATAAATACTAGAGTCAAATACTAGACACCACAAACTCGTAATTGAAACTATGGGGGAAATGTAGGCAGACAGAATATAAACAAACCACCAGAGCTGGATTATAACCAGGATGCAAGAACTAATGCACTCTCTCTTGAGGGAGCTGCCATGAGACCTTCAATGAATACACAGCTGTTGGAAGGCAGAATCTTTTCCTATCAAACCTGGCAGGTGATGGGCCTGCAATGTTTTTGTTGTAGTTAGCTGGCTTGTTTGTTTGATATTTCTGTATGAAATGAAATCTGCAAGGTCCCATCTATCTCTTCTTTTATGCCTAGGCCGTCTCATATCTGTGAGACCATTTCAGTCACCCAGGCAAACGCACTTTCACAGTGTCAGTCCCTCTCTATCATACATGCCCCTACCAGTCTCCTGGCTGAAGAGGTGGGGTGGGGAGGAATGTAGCAAATCTTGGAAAATCCCATCTCCTGTGTTAGAGGCTGCACAGTCTCTAGGGACCACAGAAACCACAGAAGCCAGTAGCAGGGTCAGACTGCCACTTTCTACTCAGAATAACATAATTATTAAATGTAATGTCTTCCATGCATCTGATAGCTCTGAAATAAGATTATATAAAAACAAAAATAGGACTGTTGGTGGCTGCATACATGTGTGTTTGGAGCAGGAGGCCCCTGAAAGAGTGTTAAGAGTTATAAGCAGGGCTTGGGGCTGTGGTTCTATTGCAAAAGTGAAGGGGAAATGACATAGGTACGTGGTGCCTGTACTTAGAGTATTTTCCCTGCACATTTCACATCAAAGAGCCACCATGTTGAAATATTTCTTCTCTGGGTGCAAGATCAGTAAAGTCCTGCAGCCTGGCACCTGGGCTGCTTCCATCTCCTCTACCACATCTGTCTTTTACACACAGACAGGGGAGGATGCAGGGGATGTAATCGCACTCCCCTTCAGCTGAGCTGCGCATATGCAGTGAGCTCTCTGAGCAACCTGGCTGGTCAGCGCAGCCTCCTGCAAGAGATCTGCAGGCAGGTAGCTCTCAGAGCTCATCAGCTGGTCAGTGCAGATTCTTGCTGGCGCCACTGCTTTTACAGAGCTCTGGTTTATGCTTTCTCTTCCCATGCCCCCAAATTCAGTGTGAGGAAGGATGTGAGGATGGGGGGAGGCAGCGGAAACAGAGTGAACGTAATGGCGCCCACCCCTTGGGCTCCAGAGCTGAACAAAAGCCGTGGCTCTGGCAAGATGCTGACCAGCTTCTGCACTCAAAGAGCTACCTATGTACGCAGCTCCAACAGGAGTCCATGCTGGCTGGCCAGGGAGCTCAGAGACCTCATTGCACTTCACAGCAGAGCTGAAGGTGGTGTGCTTACATGCCCCTCTCTCCTCTCCTGGATACACTCATGCACACAGACACAGGGAGATACAGACACAGAGAGATCATTTTGATTATGATTGGGACCTTATTCGTCTTCAAGGTATTCCTTAGTACTTAATGACTTTGTTTTACTATAGGCTTGGCCTATGGATTAAATTCACTATGGATTTGGATGGTTACTTTAGGAACCTTTATAAATGGAGTGACTTGCACCAGTTAATTGTGTGTGTTGTACTTCAGATTTTCTATTGGAGGTAGTTTGGGCTGACAGGAAAAATTAAAAGTAACAGAGAGGTCACTCAGAAAACATTGTATATGGCTGCAGAAGTGTTTGGATATGGAGCAATGAATTTAAATACAGGAGGCTTAGCGAAGCAATGATTACTTGAAAGTTGTTACCTTTCATCTGCATGGAAGGACACTTCAAAGGTTGAAACATGGTAAAAATCATTTGGTCATATGAAACAAAGGGTTTCAGGCTTGGGCAAAGGGGATGAGAGGCTCCTGTTAGAAAGTGGACCACAGTGCATTAATTTGTCCAACTTCTTATGATTCTAGCTGCATGAGAAATTAAATGTAACTTTGCCATTTAGTTACTTCTTACAAGCTGTATGGAACAGAAACTGTTTTACCTGAATTTATACTCTGCATAGTGAAGCAGAACCCCAATACTGTTTGGGACCTTTGGAACACTACATAGAATCACAGAAAATTAGGGTTGGAAGGGACCTCAGGAGTTCATCTAGTCCAACCCCCTGCTCATAGCAGGATCATCCCTACCTAGATCATTCCAGCCAGGGCTTTGTCAATCCAGGCAAAGGATCAAAGGATGGATATTCCACCACCTCTCTTGGTAACCTGTTCCAGTGCTTCACCACCCTCTTAATGAGAAAGTTTTCCTCATATCCAAGCTAAACCTCCCTTCCTGCAACTTGAGAACATTGCTCCTTGTTCTGTTATCTGTCACCACTAAGGCTAGTCTAGCTCCATCCTCTTTAGAACCACCCTTCACATAGTTGAAGGCTGCCATTAAATCCCCCGTCTTTGCTTTTGCAAACTAAAGAAACCCAGTTGCCTTGGCCTTCCCTTAGAAGTCATGTGCCCTAGCCCCTGAACCATTTTCATTGCCTTCTGCTGGACACTCCAACTTGTCCACATCCTTTCTATAGTGGGGGGCCCAAAACTGAACACAGTACTCCAGACGTGACCTCATCAGTACAGAATAGAGGGGAATAATTACTTCCCTCAATCTGCTGGCAGTGGTCCTACTAATACAGCTGAGTATGCTGTTAGCCTTCTTGGTAACAAGGGCACACTGCTGACCCATATCCAGGGCTATATTCATAAGGACATATTTATAACAAGGGGGGTGCAAATTGGGGCAACAGCACTTTGGGGGGCCCTGCGGAGCTGAGCCAAGAGGCCACGGCAACTCCACGCTGCTGCAGGCTTCATGTCCGGCCACTCGGCAACCCCCTACCCTCACCACCAAATCTGCTGCCAAATCTGGCACATCCAGCCACTCAGCACCCTCCCCCCACCCCACCCCACCGCTGAATCCACCGCCAGCTTCCTTGTGTCCCATGGAGGTGGGGCCCCACACAGGCTGATTTACCCTGGGCCCTGCACTCTGCTCAGGTCATCTCTGCTCATATCCATCTTATTGTCCACTATAACCCCCAGGTCCTTTTCTGCAGAGCTGCTGCTTAGCCTGTCAGTCTCCAGGCTAGGACTGGTACATGGGATTTTTCCATCCTAAGTGCAGGACTTTGCACTTGTATTTGTTAAACCTCATGAGATTTCTTTTGGCCCAATCCTCCAATTTGTCTAGGTCACACTGAATCCGAGTCCTATTCTCCAATGTATCTACCCCCCCCCCCCGGTTGGTGTCATCCGTGAACTTGTTAAGTGTGCCATCCATCCCCATCTTCCAAATCATTAATGAAGATATTAAACAAAAGTGGCCCCAGGGTCAACCCCTGGGCCACTCCACTTGATACCGGCTGCCAACTAGATATTGAGCCATTGATTACCACCTATTGAGCCCAACAATCCAGCCAGCTTCCTATCCACTTTACAGTCCATTCACCCAACCCATACTTCCTCAGGACCTGTGTCCTGATTCCTATCCTGTACCCTCATTCCAATGTCACTTACGTAACATACACATTAAATGACAACAGGAGGCAAAAGCCCAATTATACTTGTAAAGGGAACTCTTCTGAATGAGCTGTCCCTCTAGTCTTGCAATATAGCAAGATTTATTTCTTCTGTTTATTGTTCCTCTGTTTGATTTTAAACAAAAATACAGACCAAAATCTGTACCTCTCAATTAAGGCCATAAATGAATGAATGACAATTTTTATTGATAAGATCAGAGCATGTGGCCAACTCTGTGTTGACACCAAGGCCAATAAAATTGCTTTACAGAGGCCATCCTCTGGTAAGAAGAACCTTCATCAAATTTAAATGTATGCTAATAATAGTTTAGCATTCCACTGCCTTTTATGTCAGGGCTTTTTGTTTATGTTTCTAATACACAATGCCATTAAACAGGCAAGATCCAAATGTATTCACAATCAAATACTTCGTAAGTGGTCTAAACTCAGAATAATTGGTAGTTTATTTTATTTTATTTTAATGTGTCTTTATGATCAATATCACACTTTGGGCAAAAGTTAGCTAGGTTATAGCTGCATAAATCTCCAGGTGCTCTGTGCTTCATAAATATTGCATTTTCCCTCCACTAATTCTCTTCTGTCCTTTTCCTTTATATCTTAACCAGATTTGGGAAGAAGAAAGAGGATAAAGGGGGGAAAACTGACCAGAAAGGCAATCCAAAACACAGCATTCTTAGAGAAGAACTGGAAAAGATGAAAGAAGAGTGTGAGAGGTGAGTAAAATGTACAAGAGTCTCTATGGATTAGCTCTAGAATATGACACCCAAGCTAGTGATTCCAGACTGCAGGCAGTGAAATGCTGTCTTAGGCTGCTGGTACCAGGTCGTGTCCATTCAGCAACATTAGGCCAGCCTTCTGGCTTTCATTTCCTCAAGCTGGTGCTAGGTTGTTGCAAAACAGCTTCTTTTCTCCTTGACTCTCACAGAAATTAATGCTCTCCCTGCACAGCCAGCTTCAGTAGCTCTTGTTTGGGATGAACCCTTACTCAGCACCAGTGGGAGGAAATTCTTTTGAGCTCTGGCTCTGTTTCTCTTCCCCTCCTTCCCAATATCATATGAGCTGCTGCTTCTGGGACTCTGGGTTTTCTCTCTCCTTGCTTTTCCAAAGCAACTGTAGTAGCCTATGCTAAACCTCCAGACTGTCTTTCCTTCCTCGAATTCCTGTGGTGTTTTGCAGAGCTCCAGGACTCCTCTGACTTCAACTTGGCTGTAGTGTGAGTTAGTAGTTTTTTTATGCTTTAAGTACAAGTTTGGTAGATTCTTCTTGTGTTGTTTACTAAAGGTTATAGGAGAAATTTACGTAAGTGCCTAAATACACAATAGGAGCGTGCGAAACAGGCTATATTCAATTCGGATTCGGCATGAATTGGGCACAGTGATTCAGTTCGTTGATTTGGATCACTGTCCCAATTCAATTCAGCTGAATCTGAATCTGAAGATTTGATGCTGATTCAGAGAATCAGCAATTCAGCCATTGACACAGCTTTAAATGTTTTTTCTACATACCTTGAGGTAACAGGTGCAAATCATGAACACTGTGATGGTGGGCCGGATAGAACATCCCACAGGAGTGTGTGGGGGACCCCTCCTCCCATGCCCCCCCAGCTCAGCAATCTGCCACAGGGGGACCCCAGGTGCCCCTTCAGACCCAGGAGGCACCAGATGCCAGGGTGGGGGGTCCCCCACATGCTCCCTGGTGGAGCCAGAAGTGGACCAGAAGTGCTTCTGGTCCACTTTCAGGTCCACACACACACACACACACACACACACACACACACACGCGCCCCCCACCCCCCATGGGACGCTCCATCAACCCCAGCATCTCAGCATTCATGAGCTGCCTGGTACCTTGAGGTATGTAGAAAAAGCATTTAAAGCTGTGTCTATGTCCGAATCATCAAATCTTTCTGAATCTCTCTGAATTGATTCAAAGGGTTTTGATTCGATTCGGAGAGTTTAAAGGGTCTTCTGATTTGATAGATTTGAAGATTTGGCTGCCGAATTAGGCCGAATCTCTGCCAAATCGAAACAGCGACCGAAGCTTCGCACAGCCCTAATACACAATGTGTTTACTCCACAGTGGAGCAGGTATGCAATGCACAGTGTTTGCTACAAAGGAGACACTGTTCTGCAGAAATTGAAGTCAGTGTACTGCAGAGAAAGTTACTCGGGTACATGTGCCATGTTGTCAGTTTCATTCTGGAGCAGCCACTTACTCAATGTAGATTGGCTTTCCTGCCACCTGGTGGCTGGGTGCTGTAAGGCAATAAGCATAAGATGGTGTCCAACGCTAAAGCAGATCCTGACATTATAAAGACCATCTCTCTCTCTCTCTCTCTCTCTCCCTCTCTCTTTCTCACCCCACCCCCTATAAATACATTTATTCCCTGCACAACATCAGCAACTTTGTTGCCTTCCCAATGCAGTAGAGCTAGTTTTTATGTCTCAGCACTTCTGTTTTCCTGAGTTTCTGCTCTTCAGAAGACTGGAAAAATAGGTAGGCCTGAAGGTCAGCAAACTTTTACCTTCCTGACTGTTGATAATTAGCTATTGGATATAGCTTACATGACTGTAAAGTGGGGTTTTGTTCCTCACTAGGGGCTAGTTTTTCATAAGAAGTTAATGAATCTGCTACAGCTGCCAGTAAGAAAATGTTGTCCTTTAGCTTAAGCAGTCTTGACATATATGTCTAGTCTTAGTGGTTAATATGGATTACCCTGGAAATAGAGATGCACAGTAGGGTCCTTCTCCCTCTTGAGTATACTACCCATTGGAGAATGGGGAGAAAATGGGCATCACTTATTCCTTGGAGTACATGGCAGGTAGCTTGTCTCTCTCTCAGCTGAAGGAATAGCCCAGCTTTTGTGTTGCTGATCACTAATCACATGAGGCATCCATCTCCTCTCATTCACTGTTGCCTGCTTGGAGGAGTATTGCACAATGCATTTTTAGTGATTTGAACAGAGAGCTGAAGAGATGTAATGGGGGAAAACCCTCAAATATCATTAATGATGATAATTCCACTCATTTAAAAATAGAGCAGGATAGAGTGCTGATATTGGATGTCCTACCCAGTGTTTCAGGAGATAGGTTATCTAAACTAAATAATGGCAGGGTGAAATTTATGTTTTAAAATTTCTATTGCATGTCCCTGATTTTGCCAGACAGTTGTGTGCCTTCTTTATTTTAAACTGCTGCCTCCCAGTTTGGATGCTGGCAATTTGAGAGGTATGTGTCCTTCATTTTAAAGAAGCCAGTGTCTTTTATTAGGATACTGGCAAGCTAAGAAGTATGTCTTCCATCTGTTAAAGGGCCAGTGTCATTTACTAAAATGTTGGCAGACAGAAAGGAATGAACCCTTCAGTCTAAAGGACTAATGTTCCAGTTGGACACAACATAATTGTTCTTAGTATTTCTTTAGTGTTAACTGCTTTTTAAAGGAAATCAGCTCCTGATTGACAGTAAATTGGTAAGGCTGAATTAGAAACTGGCAGCTCAATATCTGCATTGTTCTGATTTCTCTAAAAATGATTTAAATCTGACCTGGAAGTGTTTTGAGACTGAAATGGAGAACAGCAGGTGGGCTGAAAAGTTGATGACCGTAGATTATATTTTTAACTTTCTTATTTGATTCTTCTGCCACAATCCACAAGACTAGCATTTTCTCCCTGTTTTCTGTCAGTTAATTCTGCTTATACATTAAAAAGGTAATAATATCCCCAAAACAGTGCCAATGCACTATAAACATAAACAGGTCTTACATGACCTTACATGAACTTACATGTTCTCTAAATAAAACAAGAGTGTAGCATGTGTTTAGCAATTAAAGACTCTAGACAGACTGACTTTTGAACCCTATCTTGTATTGCTGATCACAAGGTTGAAATGACTTTATCAGCAATAAAGGAAAATAACATCTGGTAGCTGGTTCCCTGTTCTATGTTTCAGTGTAAAAATTATACGAAGAGGTTGATTGAGATCAGCCAAAAAATGTGTTACCTAGTTCAAAGGAAATTCAATACTTTATATTGTTGTTGACTGTTCACCTGATGATGATACTCATGAAGACAGTAAAAGAAGAGTTTTATAACTGTGTCTGAAGATTAAGTAATCCTATAACATATAATGTAATTCAAGCTTTAGATTTTAATGCATATATTGGCAAAGAAAACCTGCGGTGAGTCCACACCATAGATCTTACTACTACTATGACTTCACTAACTGTAATTCTGCATACTTTATCTCATCTTTAACAAACTGAATTCCAATAAAGATTTACTAGAATATAGGCATCATATTTCCAAGTGAGTTCTTGTTGGGAATGAAGTGAATTTATGGCACAACTAACAAGCTATAACTGTGGAACAATAGACTACAAAACTATGAACAAAAAAAATCTAACAAATCCTATTTCTTCCATAAAACACAAATTACATTTCTAATACTGCCTTTCATAAATTATTTTAATTACATATCTAATTTGCTCTTCCTGTGAGCAGTTATAGAAGTAATTTTTATTGAACGGTCTTGATCCAATCCCTACAATAAGAAACGTAGTTTGGCTGCTTGCACCTATACTTCAATGTTCTTACGTGCTTATTGTCTAGCTATTTAAAGGCTATATCAGGCTATATCACATTAATCAGTATCCATTCTTCTTCATGAATCAATGTATATATGCATACACATCTTCTCCCCCTCGCCTCCCTACCCCCCCAGACCTTAGCTGTCTATATCAGGTGCTAGACCAAGATGACAGAGCAGTTGATTTTTGGGGTGCATGTGACAGGATTAATGATTAAAGGTATTTCAGCATCCTAGCAGCTGTGGACTTTGCATGGTTTTGGAAGTTAGTTTTGCATGCACTGCACATTTGACATACCTCCAGTGCTAATGTCCTGTTTCAAGATCTCAGCTGGGAATATTTTCCGTTAGGAAGTGCATTTCCAGCTTAGAAGAGTAGCCTGTCTTTTGGAATTTTGCAAGATGCAGTTTTTCCCATCTACAACCCATCCCCCTATAAATTAACATTTCATAAGATTCATGGGGCATCAGACTGCATATTTTAGCCTTAAATGGTGAAACCAACCCCTGGTTTTGATGGAGGCAGGTAGATCCTATTTCCATTCCACACCTTCCTTTTGAACTTTCTCATGCTACTCTCTCTGTTTTCTTGCTTGATTCTCTGTGCTAGTTCCAAATTCCACACTAAAATGGTATGCCAAATCTACATCTTTATTACTTATTGTTTGCATTACCATAGCCTAGGAGTTCCAACCAGAAACAGGACTTCATTGCATGAGACACTGTACAAACACATAAGGGTCTGACCCTACCCCCAACAGCTTACAACCTAGATAGAAGAAAACAGAGGAAATAAATAGTAACAATATCCCCATATTATAGATGGAAAGCTGAGGCACAGATCAATTTAGTGATGTGTCCACGGTCATATTAGGAAGTTTCTGTCAGGACTAAGAATTGAACCCACAAGACTATCAATTCTTTCTAAAACCTGTCTCTTACCATGCAGTTGACACTATGGCATGCTTGAAGTAGTTAATGGGAAGTTGGGGTGTTGGTCCTTTTCTTTTCAGCAATAGCCTGACACTATCCAATTGCTTATTGCAATTACAGCACCCCCCCTAAATTTTAGGGTGTTTTTTTTTTCCTTTTTCCCTTTACATGCCTCCATGACTAAATCTTCACAGGAG